TTTTGAGTGAATTATCTTCACCGTTCTTCACCGGAAATTACCGTTATATGGGAAGTGGGCGTGGTTACAGTCCGATTTCGCCCATTTTCTATACCAACCTACCTTGGATTAATGGAAACCTATATANAATTTTTAATAAATTAGCTTTAATATTTACTGTTTTATCGAAGATTTTGTATTCTCTAAATTCCCGTGTTATGGGATGTGGGCGTGGTTCCAAAAATGTATATTCTTATTTTTCGTCTGAAAATTATTGTAAATATCAATTTTGAGTGAATTATCTTCACCGTTCTTCACCGGAAATTACCGTTATATGGGAAGTGGGCGTGGTTACAGTCCGATTTCGCCCATTTTCTATACCAACCTACCTTGGATTAATGGAAACCTATATACCAAATTTGGTTGAGATATCTCAATTTTTGCTCAAGTTATCGTGTACACGGACGGACGGACAGACGGACGGACAGACGGACGAACAGACAGACATGGCTTAATCGACTTCTCTGTTCATTCTGAGCATTTATGTATGCATTTGTCTATATCTATCTCGATTCGTTTTGGCTGTTACAAACAACCGTTATGTGAACAAAATTAATATACCCTTGTGCACAAGTGCACTCGGGTATAAATATAGTATTTATTGTACCTGAAAGCTTTTACTTTTAATATCATTTAATGGAAAATGCCTTTAAATTTATGTTCGAATGTTTGAAATATTTATGTATTTATTTTTCCTTTTAATTAATACTCAAAAAATTTTACACTAATTATTGGCAAATCTAAGGCTGCTAAATAAAAATGTGTTGTATTTTAAAGTGTACTTAATCAAAAGTCTTTCATTGTATATTCATGAATTCATTTAATTTTTTGACTTCCAAAGTAGCGGTTTTGGTCCATAATTGGACTAGCATTTTTCTGTCTGTTTTGAACTAGTATGAGACTGGTATATTTCTGACCGAAATCTGACAATTGCCATCTTGTAGGACATCCCCATGTTAAAAATACCAGTTTATTACGTGGAAAAAAGATAGTTGGCTGACTAGTTGGGCATGCGGTTGTGAGGTAGTTTACAACTAGTACATTTGACTACAGGGACCTTACAAACATACAGAAACTTTTACCTATTTCATACACTCAGCGATTAAGGTGAGGGCAAAATATACATAATTTCATGGTTTTATTTAAATTTACTTACTTTTTCGATTGAAATCAAATGTATTTTCAGCTTCGTGTTTTCCGGGATTTGTCCAAATCATTGGTAAACTGAATGGTAACGAAAATCGTTTTTTTGTCCACCAAAAATTCATCGCACTAATGCACGAAATACATGTGAATTCGGGAGTGTATTTATTTTGTGCAGGTTCAGATTGCAAAAAGTACCATTTATAGCATGCTAGTGCATTTTTATTTGAGACTAATTTACGCTGGTCTGATTTCAAAACGAATTTACCACAAACTAAACAAAACTTGTTTAATTTATTGCAAAGCATTTTAATTTTTTTCATCTTTAGGAGTTTCCGAAGACAATGATATAATGAATAAGTTTTTCGCAAAATTTTCGATGTTTTTTATCAATTAATATGACAGTAATCGCGCGAGTTAACGGCGCTAACCTAAACACTAGATACATACACATATACATATAATCATTATTCACGAACCAAAATACATACAAACAACTATATGCCCTTTAACCTTGTATGATAACATAATAACAAAGAGAATACGATAGACAAGTATAAACCTGTAAACATCTTTTTAATAACATAAANGAAAACTATCTTTAGCATATCCAATAAGCTGATTAATTTGATTCTGTAGCTGAATAGTTTTAGATCTCGACACTTAACAAACTCCTGTTTCCACTACTCGGCACCAAAAAACTAAAAAAAAAAAACAAAAAGGTTCCGTACGTCATGCGGACTGCGCCCCTCGTGTCGGTTGGGCGGGAATGGAGGGTAAAAAGCCGTTGGGATTAATTACTTAAAAAAATAGCAATATATCATAAAAAAACAAATAATGTCACCGTGCCTGTACGCGAGATTCTCACCCTGTAGCTGTTGCCCTCGATGTCGCGCCGAAAAGACCGCCGACCTCGTCTCTGCTGTGGCTGCTGCAAATGCGCCTCGATATCGTCGACTAGGGCCGCTGGCAAAGGGTCAACTCCGGATCGATTCTCCCATGCACCCGGCGATGTAGTTGTTGCGCCTTGCAGCCAGCGCTCTATTTCCTCCACTATCCCCGGATACTCGTTGACGCCTTCGACCTCCACCATGCTGTCACTGGCCCTTAAGCTTAGCACGTCGCTGCGGTCACCAGGCGTGCGTTCATTTTCTGCGCCGTCGCAAATGCGGAGCTTCGTGGGTGGCTGCCGAGGTTCCTCTGCCGTCGCCACATCGTTGTTAAAAATGCACATCCGCATTTCGGTGCGCCGCGTATAATCTGTAAACCCTTGGCCACTAATCTCACTGTCTTCTTGGTTTACCACTAGCTCGCCCCGCCGTTGTGGACACTCTTCATCCTCTGCCTCGCTCTCCGACGATATGGTGATAGGTGTCCGGGCTAACCACTGCCACCTCGTCCTCGCCATAGCTGCTGAAATCTTCAGACACCGTGTCTCCGGGCTGCTTCTCTCGCACTCACTGTCACTGTTGTTGGGCTCGAATAGTTCGGTGCTGGTACTGGCACCCTCGCTGTCGCACACGCTGAGCCGCTCTTCCTGCACCGCCGCTGTCTGTATCTCCGTATGGCGTGCACCCATTTTCCCTCAAATTCGCGTTTTTGTTTCTTGCGGACCGGTATTTATATTAGTTCCAATTGCGTGGTGAACTGTGCTTTTCCCGAAAAACTTTATCCCGACGTTTTCCTTTAATTTTCGACGAAAATTGCAGGACATTTTCAATTTTTAATGTTATTATTTCGCTTTATGTGTGTGTTTCTTTGTTTATTGCAGCTGTCTTGATCGGACAGTGCTTCCAATGCTTAAGCTTTGGTTTCCTCGAAAAGCGATGCCGTAATATTACGACCGTATCATACCGAACGCCATTCTTAACGCTATAGCGGTACCGCTTTTATGTAAAGCTAAATGGACGTAACGTAACTTTGCGCTTTTATGTTGTATAGGCATTCATTGCTTTTCACAAAGTTTATTAGGACTTCATCCTCTTCCATGCGCTTTCCACTTTATTATTCAAAATTCATAGAAATGTATATTCCATACTTTTATTTTGGTCAAAAGAATTGTAAACAAATTTTCTAATACACCGCTACAAATATGACGTTGCCAAAAAACGTTGATAAATAGTTATACACCGTCACTGTGTGTATTGCCGTCATCTTAGTTGACATCTTGCAATATTTACATGGCAACGTTTTTGGCAACGTTAAGTTGCGACCGCTTTTTTATGTTACCGCTTTCGAGGAAACCAAATCTTTACAGTTGAAAAGGGGGAAATTGCCTTATGTGGCCTTCCCACTAGCAATTTTTCATTGCTTCGGCCATGTACTTAGCAATTTCTTACTAAATTTCTTTATCACTTCACGTGTTTATTTCGTCGTTGTTATATGTTTTCTTATTATTTTATAGATTAATTAATTCATACATATATATAGCAATTTTTCATTGCTTCGGCCATGTACTTAGCAATTTCTTACTAAATTTCTTTATCACTTCACGTGTTTATTTCGTCGTTGTTATATGTTTTCTTATTATTTTATAGATTAATTAATTCATACATATATATTAGGGCGGGTCAATTTTTTTTTCGACATCGTTCCTAGATTCGGAACCTACATAAAATTCTAAGAAAAAAAGCCCTTTAGACCATAGCTCTAAAATCAATTTCGAGCCTGCGCAATTTTAAAAGAAATTATTTTTAATTAATACTACGTCCATAATCAGATTAATATTTACTAAAGTGTTAGGAATGTTTTTTTTTAGATTAAAGTTTTATGAGTTAGAAACTCGAAAGGATAAAATAGTCAAAGATTCAAAGTACAAATTTTTCATATAATGAAACTAGTTCATAGTTTTTCTCTTTGTTACTTGTAATATAAACATTTCTAAAATAAATGTATTTTTTGATTGTTCTTCGATTTTCTGTCTTTTTTTAGTGCCTTATTTTGCTTT